GATACTTGTTATGCAGGGCAGGGGCAGTTGTCACGTTAAACCGATTCCCTTTCTTAAGAAAGGTGGATGGAAGTTCTTTTATACTTTTGTACAAAGCCCTGACAAAGACTCACAAAGCCAGGCGTTTATTTATTTCCAGCCTATTTATTTTTAGCCCTGAAAAGAAAGGAATTAGTCTGCTGACCATTGCCAGTGCAAAGGCGAAGGCACCACCTCCCAGCCTCCAGTTTGCAGGGATCGGCAACAGGGCAGCCCTTTTTCCGAGTCGGCATTTTCTTTCCCACCCCACCCCAATCAGCTCTGCAAAGCGGGCTGGCAACACCTGCCGCCCCATCTGGTGGAAAATAGGTCTGGCGTAGGGAGAGGAAGGGAGGCGATGATTGCTTCACCTTTGCAGCAACAGCCCCCCCACGCCGAGAAAGAGAGAGAGAGAGAGAGAGGTGTATGTGTGTGTTGGCAGGGGAGAAGGTGGCAGTGGGCCTATCAACCAGAAAGTCATGGGAGGGCAGGGAAAACCAACCAATCAGGGCGCGTGGGGGATAAACCACGCAGCGCCCGCAAGAGCAACGACCAGGGGGAGTGAGGGCTGCACGCTGCACCACCGCCTTCCCTCACGTCCACCACGACTGGCCTCAACGCGAACTGGGAAGCAGCCCTTTTGTGTGCCATGAGAGAGCCCCAGGTGCCGCTCCTGGTGCATTTTTACACGTGACGCTGAAGAACAGCAGCGCCCTGCCTGAGCTCATGGTCATAGGTAGAGAGGACAGACAAGGATGGCTGTGGCGCTTGGTGTGAAAGGGAGAGAAAGGGAGAGGGAGGGAGGCGATGACTTCTTCCTCCTGCAACAGCCCCCCCACGCCGAGTGGGCGTGTGTGTGTGTGTGTGTGTGTATGTATGTGTATGTGTGTATAGGAAGTTTGACGGGGAGAAGGCGGCAGTGGGACTGCGAATGTGACACGCCCACGCATGAGCATGGGGTGCCCCACCCACCCACAAGCGCGAGGGTGCCCGGCCCCCCCACCGGTCTGCGCACAAAGGCAGTACCCCCAAAATGGTCTGCGGTCCCAAAAACGTTGAGGACCACTGTTGTAAAGTGTAGGACGCTGATGACTGCTTCCCTCACTGTATTTCAACATGGAGGTGCTTCTTTCTCAAAATTTGAAAAGGCAAAGTGGTACATGTCTGCCAAGAAAGTTATATGTCTCTTTTGATTTTCAACAGCAGTTTTAGGAGTAACAAAGACGCTATAGTAGTTTTACTGCTATTGACAGCTTCTGGCATAAGAGTTTGACAGTGAGATAGGTTAATTTTAATCTCTGTGAATGAGGATTCACCATGAACATTCTACATTTGGATGCTTCTGAACCTAGATTATGAGAATATGTCTGAGACTTCATGGTTGGAAGCATTCTCCTAATTGCTTATCTGGCCCATTTGAGTCATTACTAAAATGACTATGTTGACCATGGATGGAGCGGAGAGCTCTGTTATTGTTCCTGATCAGTTGCTGATTCTGTCTCTGTCTTACATGTGGGAAGCATTGAGTCTGAAGAGGGGAACCTCTGCTATCTGTGCAGCTTTTCATGTGAGTCAGACAGGTGAGAAACCAGCATCCTAGTTAATGCTCTATTTAAATTCGCCACTCTTTCTATATAAATAGTGGTGGCAAGGCTGAAGCACTCCTCTCTACTCATGGTAAGTATATTGGATTTACTTACAAATGAATGAAGCTTACGTCTTCCTGCTGTATAGACAAGGCTCTGTATAAGTGCTTTTTTTTAAAAGGAAGTCAGGATTCTGAAACAAGAAAAACTGAATTCTTTACACTGAATTAGACTGATACCTCTTCCACCATGAAGTGCAGGAACACCTTTTTTCCCCTCCTTTTCCTATTCACCATTAAGTGCAGGAATACCATTATCTTTTCTGTCCTTTTCCCTTTCTAATTTAGTCAAAATGAGTACCAAATACATTGTGTGTTTCATTGAAGTATCGATGAAGATCATTACTTAGTTGAGATGATGTTATATGTTTCCACTCAATTTTTCAGGTAGAAAATCTGTTCTATATATAAATCAGCCGTAACTTCTTTGAAGAGCCACTTACATATACTCTATGTATTTAATTGCCACTAGTTAGAATTTCAGGGTAGTCATAGCCAGAACACAATGGGCAAACTGTTATTGCAGAAAGAGCCTATTGCGTGGCTGAGAGAAATACCCCACTGAAGCATTTGATGCCAATTTGTGATGGCATCCTTACAAGAATAGAATCTCCAGAAGTGTAAACATTATTATCATGGAGTGCCTGATAGTAAAGGGCAGTCAACATGAGAGCTTTATCTTCACCATGCAGTATTTGCAAGGTTTTTGGAATGATCTGGCCTGGGATTATTATTGGAGATTCACGGCTAAAGAAGAGGGACTGTTAGGCTGATTACAAATGCAGTTCTTATTAATTTTTATAAGCTGTTCATATATGAAGGTTCTGGAAGACTTCAGTCCTCAAAGGTTGTAGAATCATCAAATGGTAGAGCTGGAAGGGACATCAAGTACACCCCCCCCCCCCCCGTGGAAGCAGGAAATCCACCACTAAAATACCCTTGAGAAGTAGCTATGGTTTAAAATACTCCAGTCCACAACCCTCTGAGCCAGTGCATTCCATTGTCAAATAGCTCTTACTGTCAATAAATTCTTATGTTTAGGTGGAATCTTCTTTCTAGCAAATTGAATCTGTTACTTTGGATCCTACCCCCTGGAGTTTCGGAAAACAAGTTTGCTCAATCAATCTTCATTGTGCAAGCCCTTCAAAAATTTAAAGATGGCTATTATATCTCCTTTTAGTCTTTTTTCTCAAGCTAAACATACCCAAGTTCCCTCAAGCATTCCTCATAGCTTGGTTTCCAGATATTTTATCATCCTAGTTGCCCTCCTCTGGACATGTTCCAGCTTGTCAGTATCTGTTTTAAACTGTGATGCCCAGAACTGGATGTATTATTTCAGATAAATCTTACTACAGAAGAGTTGAGTGGTATTATTATTTCCCTTGGTCTGGAGACTATACCTCTGTTTATGCACTAATATTGTGTTTTCTTTTTCTTTTTTATTACTGCATGATGTGATTTATTCTTGTTTAGCTTTGGTCTATTTAGATTTGTTTATAGTTGTGCCTTTCATTATCTCACTCTTAATGTACACCCATCCTTTGTCAACTGTCTTCTCTTTGAGTATTTATGACCCTGGGATATGGCCCAATATTTCATTAAGCTTATTGAAATCAGCTTTCTAAAATCCACAGTGCTTGTTCTAGTATTCTCAGCTTTTCCATCTGTAGTTCCCACTATTTCCACATTTTGCCAGTTCTAGTTAGTTAGGTTCACATCCAGGACAGCTGATCTTGTTGCTTCTTCTGTATTCTGGAAAATAAAGTTCTGAGCAAGGCAAGTGAAACATTTGTTGGACCTTACATTCTTAGCAGAGCTGGACTTCCAACAGGCATCAAGGTAGTTGAAGTCTCCCAGTTTCTTCTCTTTGAATGTTTAGTAATCCGATTTACAATACCATCTTCCAAAACCTTAGTTTAGTTTGCTCCGTAGCAGCACCCTGCCATCCCCATTATGTCAGTGTTTTTTTCTCTTTTAACTTTTTACCCAAATGCTCTCTGCAACTCATGGCTCTCCTCAGTTTTACCCATCCTGTACATATAGTGGTACCCTTCTGTCTTCCTTAGGCTTTTCCTTTTGAATAAGTTATACCCTTCAAACACTACATTCCACTCATAAGTTTGGTCCCACTAGTAATTCCAGTAATGCCCATCAGATCATATTTGCCTTCATGTGTTGTGTTCAGATTTATCTTGTTTCCAATTTTCTGTGCATTAGTATGGAAACATTTTAAACCATGAATGTTTCCATCAAGCTGCTTCATTGTTGGCCTTTCCTCACCATTGATGGAGTGCTGTACTACCATCCCACCTTTGATACATCTGTGACATTTTTATCTCCAGTACCTTCTCCATATCATCTGGAATCAATTAAGCTACCCTACCAGGTTTGAAAGACTCTAGCAAATTTTTTCCCCCAAACCTTGTTAGGTGGAGGCCTTTCTCATGGAAACAGACCAAGGTCCAAGAAGCCAACCCTTTCCTGATATGCACAACCAGTTGCTGACTTCAGTATTCTTGTCTCACTTCCAGGACCTTGTACAAGGAGGAGTAATTTCAAAAATGTCTGTGCCCCAAAATTATTCACTGTTTAACCAGGAACCCTTCAGTCACTTGCAATATGCTGAAGATTATGCCTGTGAGCATCATTTGTTCTCACATGGATCAGGAGGAAATGATGGTTGTCAGTGGGCTTGATGAGTCTTAGGAAATTTCACTTTGCATCAGAGAGAAAGCACACCTCCTGAAATATTCTTTCAGGTCTGCAAACTGCAGTTTCTATCCCTTCAATAGGGAATCAGCAACTGTCACTATACATCTCTTTATTCTCTGGGTAGTAGTAGGAATTTACATTATCCTGTATAGCCAGTTTTATGCTCTCTGTAGTTTTCTGTTCCAGCAGCTCAGAATTACTGTCCATGGACATGGCATGGGACTGTTCTATTTAGATATTAAGTAAGCTGAAAATACTACAGAGCAAATTCTTTCATTTTGAGTGATTTTTTGAGGGTCCCTGTTTTATGAAAAATCTTTATTTTCATAAATGTAGTGAATAAAAATCGGGGGGTTTTTAAAGCTGGAATCATATACTTTTTCTTTTAAGCAGATTTAAAAAGTAATAATTTTGGTAAAATGTCCTTTACTTTTTTTAAAAAAAGCACTGTGATAATAGCTTTAATTTTTAATGTATTTTATGTCAAAGATCCCATTATAAAACAGAAGTTATCACTTTACCTATTGGCTAAGTGGGTAAAGAGAGTGGTGAGTGCCTCCTTGCAGGAAGGCAGGGTTCTGCCACAACTAAAGGAGATAATACCACTGCTGAAAATCTCCCCTTGAATAATTTTTAGGATGGTTTAAAGCTAGCATGTGTTAATTTACGACCATGAGTCACTGGACAGTTGTAGAGAACTATGGAGATTGTGCCCATTAGTTTTTTTCTAGAGACTTACTGTCCTGATGATCAGCAGAAATTAGTTCCACCACCTCCCCATCACAAGACAACTGAAATAACATTAGGCACAGTAGAATTAGATTTCTGAATCTTGAAATGAAAAGATGGCTTGAGAAAGGATGCCTGGGTGGAAGCTCTTGTCTCAAAGAGAGATGCCTGAGTAGAGTAATGATTTTGAGTGGATGTGTGCAGATGTCCATCTTTCCATGGAGAAGTAGACCCAACATTATCGTCAAGTGTGTGTTTAAAATAACTTTAGTAAAATCATGGAGTTGATGGCTTATATTTTATTTTAGAAATAAGTCTATGCTCTTTCTTTATCTCTTCCAGATTGTTTACTAAATGAAGAGAATTTTTCAGTGAGGTGCCCCAAGCACAAGGTAATAAAGACATGAGAAATTTGGCATTGCTATTTCCTGGGCTCAAAACAGCTTATTTTAAGACAATTTTATTTCTAGAAGAAATATTCACTTAGTTTCTTTCTGTTGTATGTGTGTGTATTTCTGCAGAGTACTATTCTTCTAACAGTCAAGAATTTATTGTACTCTAAAACAGATATCATTTGTTTTTATTCATTTTGTGTTAATGCTTGTGCCGCATGGATTTTGTACTGAATGTTTTTCCTTGGTTCAAGTATCTAGAAATATTTTTCTTAAAGTGGTTGTCTGGAAATATTCTGAGTTTTAAAATGGCTGGAGAAATAATTTGAAAGCCCCTGTCATCAATGGATCTTTGAGAGTTGTTATGTGGGTGTCTTTGGAGATGAAGTTGTTATGCTCAGTACTAATTCTAGTTCTCTTGTTCAAATTCTGGATAAATAGTTAAAGCATCAACTTTTGAAATAATGGACTACTACTTGTACAGTTTAGACAATCAAAACTAGGAAGAAGATTGATTTTGATGGGAAAGTATTTGTGAGTAATACTCTAAGAAATGTGATTTAGGGAATATCTGTGTTTTTAAAGAAAATATAAGTTCATTTTCTTGTTTAATAATGCTTTCTGGCATATAGAAATATATTTGAGGTGATTTTTTCTTATTTAATAATGTACACTACAAGCTAAGTATTGGAGCCATTTGGAAACAAGCCATCTGTTTTTGTAAAGGAGATCTGTATTGTCCTCTGGTCAGAAACCAAATCAGATGTCATTTTATTGAATGACATTATTACAAATATAGAATGCTTTAAAATACAGTGGTGCCTTGCTTAGTGATTGCTCCGTTTAATGACGAAATCGCTTAGCGACGACTTTTCCGGAGCGTTTTTGCGCTTTGTTTAACGATGGTCTCTATGGGTGATTTTCGCTTAGCGATGGTTGGGACCATGCTTCGCATAGCGATTAAATTTTGGGTCCCCTGTTTCGCTTAACGATGGTTTAAATAGCCTCATGTTTGCTGTTTTTTAAATAATTTCCTGTTATTTATAAAGTTAAAGTTTACTGTTTAAAATGTTTGAAATCATAAAGTGCACTTAATAAACCCTTTGTTAACCAAATTTGACTTTGTTCTGACTCTTTTTTAATTTATTGTTGTATTTTTTCCCCATTGAGATGCATTGAATAGGTTTCAATGCATTTCAATTGGGGAACCGCGTTTTGCTTAGCGATGTTTCCTATGGCGATTTTTGCTTAAGGATTGCAATTCGTTCCTATTGGAACGGATTATCTGGTTTTCAATGCATTTCAATGGGAAACCGCGTTTTGCTTAGCGATGAAATCGGCTAGCAGCAATTTTTGGAACGAATTAACATCGCTAAGTGAGGCACCACTGTACAGGTCATACAGTCAACCCTCAACTTGCGAACGTCCCTAGATACAAACTTTTTGATTTACTAATGACTCTGTTGGCAAAAATTGCCATCAACTTGCGAATGGAGCTCGGCAATTTTTTGCGAACAGAGCTCTCAAAGGGCTTTCCCCCCCCCCAACATCGGAGGAAGCCATTTGAGAGCTCTTTTTGCCTTCAGAGGTCTCAAAGGGCTTCCTCCAATCTCAGGCAAAAAGCCCTTTGAGACCTCCGAAGGTGACAAATGGCTCCGTTCGCAAAAAATGGCATTGACTTGCGAATGGAGGCTTGACCTCTTTCATAGGTCAAGGCTCTGTTCGCAAGTCAATGTCAATTTTTGCGAATGGATCTGTTCGTAACCATGTATTTCAGTGGGAAATGGTACTTGGACTTACAAACTTTTTGACGTACGAACGTCATTCCAAAACAGATTAAGTTTGTAAGTCGTGGTACCACTGTGTTGCATAAAGACTTCAGAAATCATTCAGGTTATTTTGGAATATGACTGGCCCCTTCAAAATTAAATCACTTCTCCCAGTAAATATGCAGTGGTGCCTCACATAGCGACATTAATCGGTGCAGCAAAAATCTCTGCAAAGTGATTTCATCGCTATGCTATTTTAAAAAGCCCATAGGAATGCATTGAAACCCCTTCAATGCATTCCTATGGGCTTAAAACTGACCTTTAAGCGACGATCCTCCACACGGCGGCCATTTTCGCTGCCCAGTAAGCGAGGAATCCGTCCCTAAACACCGTGGGCAGTCATTTTTTTACCCGGTGGCCATTTTGGAACCGTCGATCAGCTGGGGGGGAAATCACCGCTTTGCGATAATCGGTAAGCGAAACAGGGTACTGATCATCGCAAAGTGATTTTTCCCCATTTAAAACATCGCAATGCGATCGCAAAAGCGATCGCAAAAGCGATCGCAAAAAGTTCGTCGGTATGCAATTTTGTCATTAAACGGGGCACCCGTTAAGCGAGGCACCACTGTATTTAATCAGTGTTTTTGACAGGATTGATATTTTGAGAATCAAATTTTTGCAGAGATCAGGAGAAATTATGAAGTACTAAAGCATAAACCTAATCCTCTTTTCTATTTTTGAGAAAAATTAATACTCAGCTTTAGACATTCTCTCTCCTCCACACTCACCCACACACCAATTTTTGATTTCTGAATCCACAAGGTAACTCAGAAAATGTGTAAAAACTATCGTACATTCTAAGAGCAGTATGATAAACAGAGAAAATAAAATGCCAAATGAATAACTAGCAGAATAGCGCTCCTCCATTGATAAATGTCACTGATCCATTCCAAGCATTTTATTAGTAGAGGAAGAGTGGAGTATGTGCCATGAACTTGCAAAGTGTTTTATATGACTGTTAACTTAGACTATGTATGGCATCGATAAACAGGTAAGTAATCTCACCTGACTAAATACCCATTTCCTGATTTCTCAAATATACAAACAACTATATTCTGTTTGTACATTATTTGTTAAAGATGTTTGTATATGCATATTTGGTTTGATTTATTTATCTCCTTATTAGTGCAACCACTGTACTGGGTGGTGGTAGTAGTATCCTTTATTACGGTCAAAGACCAGTAAAACCAAATCAATATAAAATCGATACATATACAGTGGTGCCTCGCTTTGCGATCATTCCGTTGAGCGATGAAATCGCTTTGCAATGGACTTTTGGCCATCGTTGGACCGGTCGCTTAGCGATGGCCCCTATGGCTACAATTCGCTTTGCCATGATCGCGGGGAAGCGATCATGGCAAAGCGAACTTTTTAAAACAGCTGATCGGCGGTTCCAAAATGGCCGCTGCAAAAACAAAATGGCCACCGCTGTTTTGCCTCACTTTAGAGGCACCCAAAATGGCTGCCACTATGGAGGAATTTTGCTTTAAGGTATGTTTTTAGCCCATAGGAACGTATTAAACACGTTTTAATACATTCCTATGGGCTTTTTAATATCGCTGAGCGATTAAATCAGTTAGCAATTTTTTTTCCGGAACAGATTCATATCGCTAAGTGAGGCACCACTGTAATTATTGTTTAGTAAAGTCGATCAGGGTAATAAAATTCAGTTAAAACATAATAAAACAACCCCTTCTTTCCAATTAATAGCATAATATATCCTTAATATACTGTAGGTAAAACCTCAGGGAGTGTTATATTAAAAACATTATATTGTCCTTCTAAATCACCTACCCAAACATCTGTTTACGAATAACCATTGCTGGAGCACAGAATTGGGCCACTTGTCTTGTAATATAAGGGGTATTGTCAGAGAGTAGCCATTGCGCATAATCCTCCTCTGATCTCCCAGGAGATTTACAGATAATAGGTGATAAAAGCTCCATGCGAAGATCGCTGTAACAAGTACAGAAAAGAAGAACATGACCAACTGATTCAACTTTATCACTATTACAAGGGCAGAGACAATTTGATTCAGGCAAACCTTGAAATTTTCCCTCCAGAAGCTTAGAAGGTAGTACATTAAGCCTAGCTAGCGTAAAAGCCCTTATGGCTTTAGATGACATAGTGCTGGCTAAATACGAGGAGGTGATAAAAGCAGATTTCTTAAGGAAGTTATATTTCCCTAACTGGCCAACATGGTCCTGTAGTTCAGTGTCCCATACCCTTAACTTCACCGCTTTAATGGCATCCGTAAGACCCATTGCTATAAGTATACTGGGAGAAAAGCCAATTTTCGATTTCTGTTCTGTTTTTATGCTTCTTCCACTCGGACTGAAAGGAATCTAGTAGGATCAGTGGGGCCAAGCCTTCTAATGAAAAAATTACTGGGTGGTTTAAACATGATTAAAACATGTATATCTGCCATGAAAAATAGATTTTGTGCTTATAAATTATTTTGTGGCAGGAAAATGCTCATATTTGATTACTTTGCATTATGCATTCTTTATATGAAAAGGACATTCTGGTGCAAATGGACTGAACATTTAACCAATAATATCTTGTAATCCTACAGAGCCCCTTTCAGATGTTGCAGATTTAATTAAGGATTGCATGTACATATACTTTTATTTCCAATCTTGATAGCTACAAGGGACAAAATCTGTTTTAAAAACCCACAAGAAAACTAAGATTCTTAGGATTTTAATTTTCTTCATTCATTTCTTCATTTGTTCAGAACTATGGGATACATAGTTATTTTTTTATAATCCAAATGTTGTGCCAGTCGAAATCCAAGGCATTTGTTCTCTGTAAAATGCTATTATGGTAATTTAAAACAATGAATTGAGATATAGTTAAAAATAACCCTTTGAAGTGAAGAGGGCTTTCAAATGTTTCATTTAAATGTGTTTTGTAGTGTCAACATATGTTTTATGTCATAAGCAGATTTCTTTATTTAAGATTTAAATGCTAGCTGTATTCTCTTAGGAACTTGCAAAGTTAAATTAACTCAAGTTTGACGTTTCTGATATAAATGGTTTTTTGAAAGTAACATTGAGGAGCTAAACCCTTTTGCAAAAATGCCGTTTCAAAAGAAAGACTTAAGAAAGAAGAATTTCAAACATTGCAAACCTAATGCCTTTTTGATGCTCAGTGTGAAAGTTTTGTGATTTTGCAGGGCACTCAGCTCTATTTTCCTCCTGAACTCTTTATATTTCCTGCTTCACGAAAGCATGAAGTGCTGTACTGTAGAATTCTGCCTAAAAATCTCTTCGGTTCTATTACTGATGCTTTCTCTTTCATTCTTCATATATTCCTCCTTTCTTCTTTTCTGTTTTGCTTCATCCTCACATTCTCCTTCACCTACCCCTTGGCATACTGGACATCAGCCCCCCCTCCCTTGCTCTCTTCCCTTCTTGCAGAACAAGATGGTGAAAGGCAGCCTCAGCACAGAGCAGTCGGAGCGGGGGTGAGGGGGGAAGTATGTTCGTGGGAATGAAAATAAAAGCAAGCACAGGTGAGTTGAGAGAAGGGCATAATTTCCCCTCCCAGCTTGCCTCAAGTTGGAGGGAGAAATAGGTGGCGGTCTTCCTGTGCAAAGAACTTACCTGGGACTCACTCATTCACTTTAGACAAGTTGCATTATCCTTCTATCTTGATCTCACTTGTCATTGAAAGACTAAATTGAAAAGGAGCTCTGTATTTTTCCATGTTTTCTCTGTTTGGATTTGTTTACAAAACAGGTGGGTGATTAAACTTTTCATAGTAGAACTGTTTGGGGAATAATTGTAAGACATGATTGAAGTTAATGTTTTTCTGGAGCCATAGTCAAGGAAGTTTACTTCCCTGCCTGGCAGCAAGCACTGTTGTCTACAGCTTGTTGCAGGTAGAACAGAAAAATAGGCAGTGATCAAAGCTGAATGGATTCTGTTTCATTCATATTGTGCTCGTAGGCGTATTGTTATCAGAATACTAGACTAGGTAGGGATTTTGCCTGATCCATCATGGCTGTGCTTGTGCTTAGGACCAACATGCACTTTCAGTTCACACAGAAATAGAAAAGCGTATCAAAAACAGAGTCGCCTTTTTGAGTTCAACAAAGACAGTGAAGATAATCTGAAGAACACACTGGTTGAAATCTTATTACACAGCTTTGCATGCACAACTGTGTCATCCGTGGCAAATTGCTGCTCATTTCAGGATGCACTCAAGTCATGCAGGATATGACAAAGTTGCATGTATCTCAGAATCCCCAAAGGATGCAGCGGTTTTCCACTGCTGATGATGTCATCACCACAGCTCATACAATGCTGCACTACAGGATTCCAGCGAGTTCTAGATAGTCTGGCATGTTTACATTGCCTCCTAGTCTGTTGTAGACATCTGTAGGGAAGAGAATCCAAGGAGTAACTGGTATCTTCTTAGTCAATTCATTCTTATTCTGTTAGGAAAGAAATTCTCATTAAACCGAAACCAGTCTGATGTATAATTGTGATTGTCTGCACTAGCCTATAGATATGGTATACGGATCATTAAGGACACAGTTTGGATAGAAAAAAAGACTGCTTGTGTTTCTACTTAGATTGAGTTATCCTTCCCTTTTAAGAGCTATCTTGCACCTTTCTGGCCTATAGGTAGGGCATGCATTCTTTTTTAGCACGTTCTGTTTAGCTGGGAGATAGCGCCCTCCAGCAGACTCAGTATCATGGGTGCAGATTCTAAATGAGAGTTGGGGGAGAAGAAGGACACAGGGAGGGGGAAATGGAGAAAGCAGAATGGCAGAGAGAGAGGAGTGACATAAGAAGTACTTTCGTTTTCTCAAACCCTTCGCATATGATCAGGGAAAGTGCTTAAGTGACAGTTGTTGATACCCTTGTTGTGATGTTACCATTATGTTATCTTTAGTACTTATAGAAATAATTGCTTTCTTATCTGCTTTCCTTTTCACTGCATAGGATAACAATTTAGAGTTTTATTTTCATATTCATAATAGTTCTTCTTTAAATAGCTCATTACATTATTAGTTTTACTTCTGTCTAATGCTTCTAGCTCTGCTTTGGTTCTTGTGAGTTCTTTGAATATTTTTAGAGCCTCATTTGTTATGTTCTTCTGTTAATCTCTTTATTTTAACTTCCAGTTGTTCTTGTAACATTTCTCTTATTTTTTAATCTTGATCCTTCCATTATAAATTTTCCTCTTAAATATGCTTTAAGAGTGTCCCAAATAAGTGCTGGCTTCATTTCCTCCTTATTAATTTCATTTAAAACTTGATATCTCTTTTAATTATTTCAGTAACATGGATTTCAGATATTTTTTATTTTGCGAAAAGGGCTACCTGACACGCACCCAGTCTCCATGGTTTTGTATAGGTATACAGTTGACATAATGTAGCCCATGGATGGTCAGCTGCCCAGTTCTAAACCTGTGGCAAGGCAAATACATCTCTTTCTACAGAGACTGTGTTACTTGCGACAAAAAACGGACTAAACATTGAGTTGCAGTGCTAGCCTACAAGAAGTAAGGTTTCTGCCATTTGATAGTTAATTTAGAGAAAGACCTAAATAGTTCATACAGTTACTTTAAATATTCTTAACTTGAAATCTTTTAGCATAGTTTTCTTCCTTTAGTTAGTTCAGTAGCATTGCTGAGAACTGAACCTCCAATCCTAATGCTTAAATTTTCTATATGAATATGGAATACAGTCAACCCTCGACTTACGAATGGCCCTAGTTACGAACATTTCGACTTATGAACCGCTCTGATAGGAAATTATTGCCTTGACTTGCGAACTTTGCTTCGAGTTATGAACGGGAAAAAACCGCAAGTTTTGGCTGAAAAGGTGCTTTTCAAGGTGTTCTGTTGAAAAGGTGTCTGTTCCCTCCTTCCCTACCTCTTTTCTTTCTTTCTTTTTTTAACCTAAGTCATCTTAGGTTGAAAGGGGAAAAAAAGAAAAAATCTGCCCCTAGTGGTAGGAACAGATTAACCAGCTTTGCATTAGTTCCCATGGGAACTAATGCTTCAACTTACAAACTGTTCCTTGACCTAAAAACCAAAAACAGCCGGAATGGATTAATTGGTTTTCAATGCATTCCTATGGGAAATTTTGCTTCAACTTACAAACTTTTTGATTTACGAACATCCTTCCGGAACGGATTGAGTTCGTAAGTCAAGAGCTGACTGTATAAGTAAAGGCATACATTTGATTTTTCTGTACATGCTTTTTGTCATAGAAATTGGTTAGCATTTGGAGGTAATAAAAATAAAAAGTTGAAAATCAAAGTGACTTCACTTGAAAGATTTGCAGAGCATAAAAGGTAGCCCTTTTGCCGTAAGGAAAAAAATCCCAAATCTGTCTTAGAATAAGATAAATTTTGGATTTTTTTTCTTATGGCAAAAACACTACCTTTTATGCACTGTAATCTCAAGTGAAGCTATTTTGACGTTCATCTTTTTAATTTCATGGATATTTATTAAGCCAATCAATGGCTCAAAAATATTTGTTTATTTTTTTACATCTCCATATCTCCTTATCAAGCAGGATAAAACAAAAGACCAGTGGTGGTGATTCTTGCTTTCTAGAAATGATTTGCCTACATCTTTTCCAACGCCATCTGTGTTTATTCAAACTTATCTTCCAGTGTTGCATTTTATTTGAATCCAGTGATACATCAGTGAGCATTCTTGATTCTTCATAAAAAGAATGTCTAAAGAGGTTATATTTTATACATGAAACAGCAACAGTACAATTGTCCTACTGCTTCTGGTGACTAGATGTGATTCACCTCTCCTTTTCTGTGCCTCAGCCTGAAGGCAAGACATTTGGGTCTGGCACAACTCAGAAAAAATAGCTGTCTGATGCTTTGCTTTTAGGACCCTGTTAGAGCAAGGTGTCAAGTGGTTGCTCTAGAGAACTGAATCAGCTGCATTCTGCTCCAGTGCTCTCCAGAGGACCTGCATGATCTGTTCCTTCAAAACATGTGAACAAGCAAGGCATCAAGCAGGACCTGCTTTCTAGAGAATGACTGGATGGAGCACCCATCAGCCATGGTGTCTTGTTCTCAGAGCAAGGCAACAGTATTGGGGTGGGGTCTCCAAGTGGAGGTGATGGTGGTAAGGTGGATCATTTGTTATCCCTCCTGATTCACTGTTTGAGGAGGAGGATTAACAATCCCAGTGGAAAGCAGATGTTCAAAATAGCTATCTTGAATTGAGTGACTTGGTTTTAGTGTGAGTGTGTGCTCTCAATTATACTTGTAAGGCATTGTGTGAGTGTACCTTGGAATAACAGAATTTCAGTTGTACTAGCATTTCTGCAACATTTTCAGGAAAGAAAAGACTAGTGCAATGGCTTGTCTTTGAGAAACAAGAGAGGAAAGACTAAACATTTAGGAAAGTTGTCTGATGTTTCTTCAAGCATTAATGTTTGTCAGTAGGTGCCTGTAGATGTGGGTATGTGAGTGGAACTTTCAGAATAAATAATTACAGGATTTATAGTAAAAAAAAACAACGAAATCCCATGCCTAGGTGTAATCACTTTGGGCCATAATCGAGCTTATGATTTGAATAAGGAAGTAAGGAGAAATAATCATATTAATAATATTAAAGTTGGGACTTTAATATCAGAGATAGCGAAAGGATGATTGTTTTGAGATCACAAATCAGTGGAGAATTGAGATTTATTCTCAGATTCCCCTAGAACATACTAGAGATTTTGAAGTTTATAGAAAAATGGTATTTTCCAGATACTGCATAAATGCAGAACATCTCAGGCAAAAATTTCATGCCCTTAGTAAAAGACCTGAAGAATCGTATGCTCAGTTGGTGTCTAAGTAGCACCAGTATCTGGACAAATGGATGACACGTGAAATAGTTGCTTCTCTAGAAGAGATGATAGGCTTAGAACAATTTTACTCTATTTTACCCGGGGAATTGCGCTATCTAGTTAGGGACAAAAATCCTAAAACTCTGGTGAACAAGCTGATCACATTAGGGAGTACAAAGACCCCAGATTCTGTGAGATAAAAGTTGACAAGCCAACCTGGGACAACCATAAGAAATCCTTCAGCCAACCTTTCAAGAAACAGTACCACAGTAAAACATCAGGTAATGAAGGCCAGGGTGGTGCCTCATCTAAATTAGCCCTCAGAACCAAACGAACTCTGAGGAAAAGTTTACCAAACTTCCTCAGAATGAGAGGAGGAATTATAAATGTTACAACTGCGGCCAGTCTAGACATTTACAGTTCCAGTGTATGCGAAATAAACTTAATACTGGGAAGAATGATAATCAAACAAAAAAAAGTGTACTGTTTAAAACAAGTTGAATCCTCTGAAGGAAGCAGTAACCAGAGTCCTGTTTCAATTGCAACCACAGCTTCTACTGATCTTGAGGAGGACATTCCTGAAGCCTCTATAGTACATTGTTATTACAGTGGTGCCTCGCTTAACGGGCGCACCGTATGATGACGAAATCGCATAGCGATCACTTTTTTGAGATCGCTAATGCGATCGCTTCCCGATGGCCTCTATGGCCAAAACTCGCATTGCGAAGATCGGTAAGGGTTTCACTTATCGATCTTCGCATTGCGACGCCGGGAAATCAGCTGTTCGGCGGCTCCAAAATGGCCGCCAGAACCATTTTCGCGCTCTGCCCTCGCTTACCGAGGGTGCGAAAATGGCGGCGCTATGAGGAAACCTTGCTTAACGGTGAGTATAGAAGCCATTGGAACACAATAAACTAAGTTTAATGTGTTCCAATGGCATTTTGAGTCCCGTTTAGCGATGTTTCCTCATAGCGAGGGTTGGGACTTAATAGAGCATGTCAAGAGTGTTTTTGTTCTTACATGCTCAAAGGGGGGCTAAATACCCACTGCAGCAAAATTAGATACAGTAGCAGAGGGAGACCTGGAGAGAGAGAGTCCCTTGAATAACCAGATTAATAGTGGTGCTGAAGCTGATTTCATGCTTCTGAAGAATCCCATTAAACATTTTGCCCAGGAACAGAAGGAGGACATTAGCTTGGGGTTTTGCTTTGAAGCAGCCAGAACGCCCACTGTATTGCCTCCTGAATGCCCTGAGAGATTTTGCATGTATAAAGACCTTTTGTATAGGGAAACGTTAGCCACCTCATACAGAGGGAGACCCCCAAAAGCAGTTAGTGATCCCAAGTAAATATAGGGAGAAAATCATAAATCAAGCTCACAGTAGTTTGTTTGGGGCACACATGGGGATGACATGAACCAAAAGAAAGGTTGCCCAGAACTTATATTGGCCAGGTATGGGTAAACAGATTACTTATTATTGCAGAACTTGTGATGTCTGTCAGAGATGAGGGACAGGGCGGGACAGGACTAAAGCCAAATTATGTCCTTTGCCATGATGCCAGTCATCTCTACCCCATTCCAAAGACAGGGAATTGACCTGGTGGGCCCTTTGCCTAAAGCCACCAGAAGGGGGAATAAGTACATTCCGACCATTATGGATTTTGCCACTAGATATCCTGAGGCAATTCCATTACGTAACATGGAAACTGACTCAGTGGCAGATGCCGTAATCAATTACATGAGTTGATCGGGATTTGCTAGCAAAATAGCCAGTGATTTGGGAACTAGCTTTACCTCAAGACTGATAAATAGGTTATGGAAGGGTTGTGGGATAACCCAAATCAACTCTACACCATATCATCCTGAGACTAATGAACTAATTGAAAAATTTAATGGCACGTTAGTGCGCACGATTAAGGCCTGTGTGGCAGAGAACCCAAATGATTGGGACAGCAAAATACAACCCGTATTATACGCCTATGGGAGCATTCCGCAGGAAAGCACTGGATTCAGTCCTTTTGAGTTGTTGCTACGATAGGAGGTGCATGTACCTTTAGATTTGCTTTGCATGAACTGGGAAGACCATAGTGAAAATGACCCAGAGTCAGTAATAGAATATATGAACTGGTTGCAAAACACCCTGCGAAGGTCTCTAGAGATAGCCAGAAAGAACCTAAAGGCTGCCCAGACCGAGCAGAAGATGTGGTAAGACAAGAAAGGCCAGGAAAGAACTTTTAGGCCAGAAGATGAAGTTCTTTTACTTTGGCCAGTCAAGGGTCACAAGCTACAATTTATTTAAGCGGGAGGCAGGTAGCGTTCACCTTTATTATGTTAAGTAGTCATATGGAGTCAGAGAGGAGTCAGTCAGTCAGTCAGTCAGCGTGGAGAGGGAGATAGGTAAAGGTAAAGGTTCCCCTTGACAATTTTTGTCCAGTCGTGTTCGACTCTAGGGGGCGGTGCTCATCCCCGTTTCCAAGCCATAGAGCCAGCGTTTTGTCCGAAGACGATCTTTCCGTGGTCACATGGCCAGTGCGGCTTAGATACGGAACGCTATTACCTTCCCACCTAGGTGGTCCCTATTGATCTACTTGCAATTGCATGCTTTCGAACCGCTAAGTTGGCGGGAGCTGGGACAAGCGACGGGCGCTCACTCTGTCGCGTCGATTCGATCTTACAACTGCTGGTCTTCTGACCCTGCAGCACAGGCTTCTGCGGTTTAGCCCACAGCGCCACCACGTCCCTTACGGAGCGGGAGATAGAGTGTGCTATTTGGGAAATCTGAGGTGAGATTAGAGTGAAGAGTGAAGAAGAACTGTTATAACAAATAGAAGGTTGAGATTGATGATCAATAAACCTGTAGAAATTACCTATGATTAATAATCAAACATCTTTACTCAATAAACAAGTTTTATTTAAAAGACAGTGAAGTTTGGATCTGCATCTTCATCCTTCCATAAGTAATGTTGATTTAGGGATCAACTGGGGGCAGTAGGTGAAAAGTATTGATTTGCCTTCGTGTGTTCTATGTTTGGGGAGTCAGGCGGGTCACGAGGGGCGAACATCACACTTGACAACACATAATAATTATTATTAGCTGAATACTGTGCAGGTCCCTATGAAGTATGGAAAGAGGAAGACTTGGTGGACAGGTGTCCATGTCTTGAATCAACTTCTGCAGCTATTCATAGGATCAAGTTGAGGTTCATCCTTTGATTAAGCAGTGTGTACTTCAGCAGCTTTATTTTCCAGCACTACGATTCATGGATTCTAACATGAACATTTAAACATGAAAAAAAATCTGCAGTTCTTCATATTTCATATAATCAATGTAGAATAACTTTATTTTCATGGCATCCTTAGAAATCCTTGTTATTTATAGAAAACAATACTCAATTGTAATTTTCATAAAGAATTCCATGAAGTTTAAGAACTTGTGGAAGTACACTACTGTTTTCAAACCTCTTTGGAAATGCTGTTAACTGTGCTATTAAGTTAATTATGAAATTATAACATCTGTAATTAATTTTCATAATAGCAGTATTTTTGCCTGTTACAGGTTAGGCTGATGAGATAAAAAAGCGGTGGACATTCAAGATTCGATGGATTCTTTCCCACTGTGCAGTCATGCCCCTCTTGACGTGCCTGCCAATGCCAGCACTTCCTCCATCAACTCTTTCATTACAACTGACCGAAAACATCACAGAATATGATCAAGGAGTCTGAACCAGCTGTTTTCATTGACACAATCTCCATAATGACTATGGGAAGGGGAGGGAAAAGAAGAGAAGGTGGGGAAATTAAAGAGGGAGGGATAAAAATATATATATAGATATATATATATATCAAAAGATCTATTTTTAGTCTTGATAGACTTGTTTTAAATGAAAGGTGCGCTATCCCTTTTTATGCATTAAATTCCATTTTTAGGACCCACATATGTTCCAAGTTGCTCATAATAACTAAAATTCAAACAAGGCCTTTGAAAATGAATCCCATCTTTTAGAAAAGAGTTATGGAGTTATGAGCTTGCTTAATCAAATTTGTCTCTATACTCCATTTTATCCAAACCCCCAGGTTTCAAAGAATACAGTTTTGGTTGTTGTTGCTGGCAAAATTACCTGCAGGGGTGGGAGGTGGGAGTGAATGATTGCTGGGAGTAGGATGTTTGTATTTGTGTATGTGTGAACAGGGGATTTTTCTTTTTAAAAAACACTATTTATTTTTATTAAGAAAGGAAGCCTGAGAAGCATCAGAAGACTCCTATATCATGTGACTTGTGAAATAAGAGTGGCTTCTACTACCTTCATATTCACATACTTTGATCTTATATACATGGCTCTGTTTGTAAACATGACTCTGTCTGTACCAAAAGCTGGGGAGTTTGTGCCATTCTTGGTGTTAACAAATACTCCCAAATCATTCCAAGGAGCTGCTGCTTTTTTTCATTGGCAGTCTAGAGGTGGATGTTGGCTTGCCTACTAGAAAGGGGAAATATGAATGTTGACATAATCAGTGTGTGTTAAGCTGACCAGGAAAATCCAATTAACCCTTCTTTTCTCTGTCTTTTGTTTTCCAAAGGAAGGAAGGGAGAATGTCAATTTAGCAGCCTACACCACATGGTTACTTTATTTGTTTGTACATTGTGTAATTTTTGAACCTTTGAGTTTTTAAAAAATGAAACCTTTTCTCTTGTTAAGGCCTTAAGAAGGGGTTAGTGCATCTTTCAAGGGTCACTCTGCCATGGGAATAAAATAGCTGTTTCACAAACAGTTTTATATAAAAAAACTAAAACAAAACAAAAAAAAATCACAAAAAACCCTAATAAACTTCATTTTAACCTTGTTTAACCTGTGGAATTTAATGAATGCTTAAATTTTCTGAGCTTTTTAAGTAGCTTGCACACCAACAGTGATTTTATGAACCACCTTCCTCTTTCTGTGTTATACTGTGGAGAATGCTTACATAAGGCAACACATTTTCTGTGAGTTTTTATGGATAAACCTGAGTAGTGAAGCAGCTTCACTGCTCATCTCCTTCTAAGTCTTGATCTTCTCCACCAGGATGCAGACTTTTAAAAAAGCTGCCATGGGTATCGGTTGAAACTTACTCTGTCAGTTGCAGGGCTGAGGTGTGTATGATTTCCATGGGGGCAATAGCTGGCAATGAAAGAGCTAACCCTTCTTTGAATGTGTAGTCATCACTGTTGAAAATCTTCTCCTCTGTGGTAATTAGGATTTAAAAGACCTTTTCTTTACCACAGTGAAACATATTTTAAAAGCCTTATAGAGAAAAGATGAGAAGAGGTTGATAGAGGGGGAAATAAAGAAAGAAGGCTTGAGAGAAATTAGAGGAAGAAGGAATGAGAGAAGGAAGAGTCAGTCGGCTGACGGTTGTGAGGTTTATGGGTTAGCTCTGGCCAGTATAGCGTTCAAGGGGGAAAAAGAAGATCTCAGAAGATCTCATCATCAAGATTGCTCTTTATTTTCCACCCTGGTCTAGAAGATCTCATCATCAAGATTGCTCTTTATAGTCTAATTGAGTAATCCAATTGGATGCCTTCTTGATGGCTCCTGGACGAATTTTTGTTTTTTAGCTTCTTGTCCACCCAGTTCAGTACAATGGTGCCTCGCAAGACGAAAAACCTGCAAGACGATTGGTTTTTGCGATCACTATGGTGCTTCGCAAGACGGTTTCTTCTATGGCCATGCTTTGCAAGATTATTTTTTTTCCTCCTGAGGCTGATGCCTCGCAAGACAGCAATTCTCGCGGAACGAATTACATTCATCTTGTGAGGCACCACTGTATATGTCACAGCATTATCCTTCTTAGGATGCAGAGCCTGGAAGTGCACCCAGTACTTCACATGTAGCTTGATCCTGGTAGCCTGACCAATTTTCAGATACAAAGCTCCCTATCTTCGATGAGAGTACAGTGGTGCCTCGCACAGCGATTGCATCGTATAACGATGAAATCGCTTTGCGATGAAGATTTTGCGATCGCTTTTGCGATCGCTTTCCGATGTTCCCTATGGGGAAATTTCGCTTTGCGATGATCGGTTCCCTGCTTGGGGAACGGATCATGGCAAAGCAAACAGCTGATCGGCGCCTCGGGAGGAGGGAGGGAAGGAGGGGTGAGGGGCCTGGCCCCATTCCCGGTGCGCAGCAACCCCTGGGGCGCCGAGCCAGAGAGCAGTTGCGGCAGGAGGCACTGCAGAGGAGGAGGCACCCGTCGGGGAGCAGGATCAGGGTGGCAGTGGCTGCACAGGGGCAGCGGCGCACCAGGGAAGGCTGGCTTGTAGAAATAATATTTAATGTTATATTGTTAGCGTGTTTTTCTTTGTGCCTTTTATGAATTCAGTGGTTTGATGTACTACTGATGCAGGGTTTTTTTGTTTGGCCTGGCTTTATGCAAGAAGACAACATGTATGTGTCAGAAAAAACAAATCTGTTACCTCCTCCCATGGCAATACACTGTTTTTATTCTTTCATTTAACTTTCTATTTGTTATCCCTTATAACCACTACAGTGGTGCCTCGCATAGCGATTGCATCGTATAACGATGAAATCGCTTTGCGATGAAGATTTTGCGATCGCTTTTGCGATCGCTTTCCGATGTTCCCTATGGGCTAGGGTGTCTCCTGGGCTAGCTGGCAAGTGAGGGGTGGCCGGCGTGTCCCTTCCCCACCTCCACTCCCCGGCGGCTGCATCCCTTTAACCCCTCGCTTGCCTGCCTTGGCGGGGTGTCTCCTGGGCTAGCTGGCGAGCGAGGGGTGGCCGGCGTGTCCCTTTCCAACCCCCCTTCCCCACCCCCGGTGGCTGCATCCCTCCAGCCCGCTGCTCACCGGAGAAAGACCCTCCGGCCCACCTGTTTGTGCCCCGGGACAGCTCCAGCAAGGAGGCCGGGCGTCCTCCAGGGCTGGCTGGCAGTGGAACTTGGCTTTGCTATGATCGGTTCAGATCATAGCAATGCTTTTATAACAGCTGACTGGCGGTTTCAAAATGGCCGCCCCCTGTTTCTGGGACGTATTCCTCCCTTAACGAACAGCGAAAATGGCCGCGCTATGGAGGATCTTCGCTGAACGGTGAGTTTCAAGCCCATAGGAACACATTAATTACATTTTAATGTGTTTCTGTGGGCTTTTTTGCCCCGTATAGCGACGAATCCGTATAGCGACGATTTTTCCGGAATGGATTATCGTCGCTATGCGGGGCACCACTGTATAGACAAGGAACTACAGGGACCAAATCTGGCTACACACAATATGTCTTAGTGTAATCAAGCTCCAACCCTACCAGAAGGAGGCACTCACTTCCCTCAAAATATTATCTTAGAAATAGAGCTACTTTCTTGTGTTACACAGACAAATCAGGATTGGTCTTTGCCTTTTAGGCCAGATCTAGATAAAGTGAATGAGGCCTTAATACCCCAAATCATCACCGAAGGGACTATACCAAACATACCCAAAAGAGAGGAACAGGCAAAGTCCAAAGTTAAAAAGAAAGACAAAGCCTCAAAAAACAAAGATCAACTAACTCTATAGGACAACCAAATTGCAAGGTTAACAAAAACAACAAAGTCAAGAAGGGTTCTATACATCTTACAAAAAAAAGGGAGAAGGATGGATTTTAAACCCTTCTTTCAAATGCTAAATGTAATGCAAAATGACCTAAGGAACAAAGATGACCAAATAACTGCAGCAAGGAAAAGGAAAAGCAAGAGAAGTGACTGCAAAAGAAGGAAATCAATGGTACACACTGAAAATGGGAGAAAGCCAAAAACCACCAGCAGAGAAAGGGGAAGCACCTGTATGGAACAAGAGACAAGCTACCAAACAGACCCCAAAGATTCTATTGTCAGATACACGCTCTCCACTCAACTCTCTCGCAAATTCGGAGATGATTACAGCCAAAGTGGGCAGCAAGGGAGAAAGCCAAAAACCACCAGCAGAGAAAGGGGAAGCACCTGTATGGAACAAGAGACAAGCTACCAAACAGACCCCAAAGATTCTATTGTCAGATACACGCTCTCCACTCAACTCTCTCGCAAATTCGGAGATGATTACAGCCGAAGTGGGCAGCAATGAAGTGGGAGGAAACAACAGCAGAAAAATCTCAGTGCTGATACGAGACAGATATGCAACAGCTAAGAAAAGAAGGGGAATGTATAAGGGACCCACATATATGTATGGAAATACAAATTATTCTAACTACAGAACAAATCTTAAGGCAGATCTGCAACTTGTTGATTTTAATCAGGCTAGTCATAAAGATCTAAACCATTTTCGGTGGGATTATAGCAGCTACGAGAGTAGACACGCCTGGAACTTTATGAACTCACCAAATAGTCGTTGCAGTGAGCCAGAGTGCATAAACACCAGCACCATGAAACCTAGTTGGATGCCCCAGATAACCCACTTGCATGGAAATGTTGTTGTATACCCAGATGTTAAGACTGAGGCATGAGGGATTTACTGACAAATTACATCTTTTAGGCTTCTCTATGGACTTCTTTCTGAGTCAGCCTTATGGTAGTACCAGGTCAATGCTTGTACTGTACAACACATTAAAGACATAGATCTCCAGTATTCACTAGCTTGTGCAGACAGGACCTGCTCACCAATGTACTTTGGTTTAAATTTTAACTTTCCCAAGTTAGCAAATTATCTATATCGAATCACAGCACCAAGGTATCGTTTTGTCTTCTCAAGGGCTAGGTTTAATTGCTTTCCCTCAGCCTTGTTAAAAGGACGCTTTAATAACATTCCTTATGGAGAAAGGGATATGCCCCTGTGGGGAACAAACAGTTGAGTCCTTGGCACACACCATTCTAGAATATAGTTTATATAGGTCTGAACCTATCTGTCACCTTTACCCAGTAATGTATAAATGCACTAGTAGACCTCCCACAGACTAGCTGAAGTTTCTGCTATCCAGAGAGAACCAATTAATAACACAGTCAGTGGCTAAGTTTTTATTCTCAGTTTTAAGAATTTGTAAAATGTTATATAAGACAACCACATGACTCAAGTTTTATGCTGCTGATGTGTTCTAACAACTTACTTCTTCTGTATATATTATATCATGTTTTTATCTTTGTATTTTCAAGTCTATGACCGTATAATAATAACATGAAATGAATTTTCAGATATTAAAGACTCCCCCCCCCCAGTCCTGAGATTTCCAAAAGCTTCCCCAATTTGAAGGGAAATTTCTTCAGGATTAATTCAAAAAGCAAGAATGTAGTTGTACGGATTTCATTTAAAGTGTGTGAAAGATGCTTTTCAATCAGCCTGTGTCCCTAAGCACTGTTCTGCTGGAAAACCATCTAATCTATCATCCAAAGAGCAATTGACCAAATAAAACCAGTCTTCCCTTTTGCTGCTGAAATTGTGGATTCCATTTAGCTCTCAGTGTTAAGTACTGGACAGCAGCAGACATACCCTCCAGGAATCTGGTATTTTTAAAGATATTGCTTAGTATCTATCTGATGCTTTTAGTGACACTGGTTTTCCTATGGCCTGCACACAAGCTTTCTATCCCTACATTTAGTTCCTCTGTCCCTGGCACATGCCATTTTATAAATTTGTGAGCTACTAGATCACACAAACACACACACCACAGCCCATAGTTATAAGAAGCTACATAAAGCTTTTCTGAGGATAATATGTAAAAGGCCGGATGAAAAGAAAAGTTACTAGCTGTGGTTATGGCTGGAGGATTTATTGCAGTAGGATACGAATGTTACTGAAAATAAATAGGAATTGAATGAATTTCTCATACATCACAAGATACAGCAATGGAATGTAAAATATGGAAAGTGAGCCAAAGATGCTAGACGCTTATTA